TCGTGTCGCGGACTACTTAGATCGTTGTGTCTATAGCATTTATTTTATTGCGATGATGTCGTTACTGTCTCATCGTCCCACTGCTCAAACCCATCAAGCAAGTTGTGATTATATAAAAAATGGCATGTAAATGCGGTGGCGCTCAAAATTAAGACAGGACAGGAATGACAATTATTTTGTACGGTGTTATTTCGTCTTATTATCTAGTTATTATAATTATAAAACTGGAGTCTATACATATTTCTCATAGCGTAATATCTACTCCAAAATAGTAGATTTGTCAAAACATTCGTCAAATGTATTTAAAAATGCAACAAAATTAGACGTTAAATAAAAAAAATTGGTAATATTTTATATAAATTACAAAAATATAGGAGTTTGATTTTGTAGATTACCTACTTATAAAACTCTGAATACGGTCTTAAAACAGAAAGTTAGGGAAACATGTTATTACATGTGAAAATGTGTTTTTCTAATTTTAACATATAAAGTGACATTTTTGTAATCACAGCACGTGTCGAAATAATCTACTGTACGCAACTAGTTGCAGAATGTTGAACATTATGAAATTGGTTTCGAAAAATTCAGTTACGAAAAGAAAACAAATAAAAATAAATCTTTTTTTTGTTTTAAAACCTAGTCATAATGTTGTTTTGGTACTTATTTTCCATTTTAAATCAGCACAAAATAATTAAAACACAATACACGACAAATAACCCATTTTTTTGAAAATCAAATAATTTTAATAAATAATGTAAACTAACTGCAAGTTGTTGAGAATAAATAATTAATAATGTTCTAATCGTGGTTCTTATTGTTAATAAAATCATATAATAATAATATAATAATAATAATACTCTCCCTAATTCACCCCCTTACGAGTGAATTTCAACCCCTGAAGTCGACTGAACGACTTGTGTAGGGGAAGGGACGGCTATTATTATTATTATTTGCCGTGGCGCTCCGGGGCGACTTAAAGATGATTGATGGTGCCATTTGACTTACAGGAGAGGAAAACCCGCAAAACCTCACCCACCATCATCGAGACGGTAATGTATGGCGAATTTTTTTAATCTGCATGTCATATCAACAGAAATTGAATTTCTATTAATACGCCACACATCAAATCCTAAACCGAACCATGCAATTTAATTAAAAATCTACATGGTTTGGTCTGGGATTCGAAACCCAGCAGTCTCAGACTCATAAACTTGCCTATAAATGAATATAAGCGCGATTGACCGCTACACCACCGTCCCGATAATATGCAACTAACAATACAAGAAAGTAATGTTGATTGCCAAATGTCAGTAATGTTTAACCAAAACACAATTTTAGTCAAATTTTGCTCAAAATTGGAAAAAATATTTTATGTAACTCGTTCATGTTGCAAAACCTCTGCAAATATTCACTCGTTACATAAAATAAGTCATTTCGTAACCGGTTTCTTAAATAGCTATTTTGAACTCCTGTTATTTCCCATTCAAGTTTTAGTGAACCTTTTGGTTTTAATCTTTTTAGACATTAGTATTTTTGCATTTTCAAGCTTTTATATTTTTACTAAATTAATTTTGTTTTGTTACAGGTACGTAATCAACATATATTACGAATCTACTGACTGGTAAGGTTTTAAAATCAATAATTAAAAATATAAATATGGAAATTTAAGATAATTTGAGCGCTTTATTTAAGATTCTTTTTTGGTAATTTCTTGGAGATAAGCTTTATAAATTAAAAAAACTGCAAAACGTTGTTTGTAATATTATAGCTTTCGGCCTCAAATTGGATGGCCTTCTTCAGTGATTTTTATTGAATTATTTTCTATTTAATATATAAGGAATTTGTGTGTTCTTGTTTTTTCATTCATTATTTAAAAAGAAATACATAATGTTATTAATATTTTATCTGAATTATTGACTTAAAATTTATGATAAAAATACTTTTTTATTATACAAAATATTTTGTGCTTAGTCACCACCTACAACTCTAATAAGAAAAGTTATTGTTAGTATATATGTAGAAGGTCGGTAATGTTTTTTCTTAAATTATCGCTGCCTTCCGTCTTACATGGTGGAATTGTGGACTGTATATAAATGAAGAATATTGTAGAAAATCTTGCTAATAGATTGATAGATTCATTGTAGTGGAATATAGAAATTAAAGTGATTTTTTCTGATAACCGGTTTATTTTAACTTTGTATTCAATAACCACATAAAAATTGAATTGTATTTTTTCATAAAAAACTAAATTCAAAACATGCTGATTTAAAAGATCTTTCTATATGATTTCTATTAATGTTACAATGCCGACCATTTCGCGCGGAGATTAATTTTGTTCTTGCTTGCTTGCTTGGAAGTTCGAATGGTTCTCCGTTTAAAATGTCTCCTCGCGTCGAGTCTAAGAATGTATCCTGTTACTATCTTGTGATTGGTTTAAGAAATGGTTTAGTTTGACCAAGTTTGGCGTGAAGAAAGATAGAGTGATGTGTTACAAACATCGTTTTCCATGAAGACATTGGAAAGACCATGCGAAAGGTACATAAGGGATGCGGTGATTACAACAATACCACTACACCCAAACCAACATGCATAAATCCAGGCAGATCTACTGATTCAGCCCTTCATCTAGTTACTGGTCGGATAGAAAGATCCCTGGACAATAAGGAGTCCGCCTTGGGTGTTTTCATAGACATAGAGGTGCTTTTGATAAAACCACCTTCCCAAAGATAATACACTCACTCACTCCCCTTGATATTTACATCAAGGAGGTTGCTCTGACGCCACCGCACGGTTGGAATAGAACCTGATGTAGGATCTGATGAGGCGAGACGTCACTTTTGGCAGGAGGCGCTCGATACGCTCCCACTGCTTCAAGCGAACATGGACTCCATCTCACCGATATATATCTTCCATAAGTCATATAAACTTATAATAGAACAAATAGAAGAGCCAGAAGTGGCAGGTACCATTCATATCTACACCGACGGTTCTAAAACAAAACAAGGCCCAGGATGTGGAATATACTCCAGATTCTTAAACCTAAACATAAAATGGGCTGTGAGCAATAGTGCTAGTATAGTTCAAACAAAGCTAACGAGGATTTTCATAGCAGCAAAAGAAATAACCAGAAACAATATCACTGGAAGGAACATGCCCATCTATACAGATAGTAGACCACCAATTTATTCAGGGTTAGTACTAGAATGTCACGAAACTTTGGCCGAAGTATCCATCAACAATGTGGTCACCTTAAGATGAATCAAAGGTCACGCCACATCGAAAGGCAACCGTATTGCTGATTCACTAGCCAACCAAATACTTTTTGGACCTGGCCCTCCTATTGGCCTGACAAAATCGGTAGTAACAGACCCAATTAAAGAACATTCCCTTGTGAAATTCAAGGAAAGATGGGATGAAACAAGGAACTGCAGAGTTGCCAGGGAGCTCTTAAGTTATTCTGACAACACTGCAGCAAACAAATACTTGACTATGACTAGACAGAATCTGCGCCTAGTCACAGGCATTCGGACTGGTCATTGCCAAGTACGGAAGCATCTCCATATCATAGGGCTGTCAGAATCCGCACTCTGCAGAGGGTGCGAACAAGAAGATGAGACCATCGAGCATATCCTTTACGATTGCTCGACGCTCTCATTTATTAGAAGATTTGTGTTCGGCGAGTTTCTGCTAACACCGGCCAATATAAGAGAAGCACCCCTTGGCGACGTTGTCAACTACAATAAATCTGTAGGCTGGCTCACAAGCTAGGGGGTTCCTATCATCTTAGGAGGATGCACAATGGACCTAATGAGGCCTACGTGCGTGGGGGTAACCCACCCTTCACACGTTACAGATACAGATACAAACTGTTGAGCAAGCGTTTGCATTTAACATTTCATTTTAAACGTGCTTATGCGGGTGCGAGTGAAATAGGTATGTGAGTGGGAACGAGTCGGAGCTTATGTGTATTTATACGGAATTTTTCCGCAAAGTGAAAACGCTATATCTTGCCTAGATTTTCAACTTCTTGATATTTGAAAATACGTTAAACTGCATTTGCCTGGGTAGGCTTTGATTTTAGTTTATTATTTATGTATTTGAAACAATAATTTTATTTAATGTAAGATTATTAAATTAGGTAATGCAAATTACATATTAAATAATGAAATATATTGTTGTTAATATCTTAACTATACAGTATTAAGTTACATTATTTATACGGGGGTGAATCATAAAGATAGTAACTAAAGTATGTTTTAAAAAATGCTTGTCATTTTTGAACAGTATACATTGAATTTTTTTTATTTAAATGTTTAAGTTTTTAGACTTATGTAGCGAGTTGGTTTCCATGTTAATGGCATAATTTTTTTGTTGGGTTATTATTGTAGTTTGGGTCAAAAGTAACAGTGTGCAATATATTTGACGTTATTGTCATTCTTATGTCATTTTTCTTTTTATTATTCATTATAATTATATATTAGGTACTTTGTTAAGGAAAGTTTAATTCTGTGTGTTATGTTAAAATTTAGTATAGTTATTATTTATTGTTATATATTTTGTATTTTGTTATAATAATTTAAAGTAAATTTGGTTTAGGTATTTTATATCACATTGATCATTCACAAGACATTCTCTTTTTTTAAATTTTGTTTTTTGTCAAGTATTTTAACGTTTTCATAATTAAATTCGTGTCCTCTTTTTAAATTTGGTTTTCCTAAAGTCGTTTTTAGTCGTTAAAAGTCGTTTTATGTAATCGTACTGTTATCTAAATATTATTTTTACTGTCCAATATATACTTTATTGCAGTTGTTTTCTTTACATGGTAAGTATTTGACTTTACATGGTAAGTATTTGATAGTGTCAGTTTTTTATGACAAATTTTATGTTTTAATTTGGTCTATTTAAGCTTATGAAATATTTTTGACACATCAGAATCGGTTAAAAACACGTTTCAATCACGCATTTTTATTACTTTTTAATTTCCTAATAAGCTTACTTACCTTGATCGGTTTTATAAATAAACTTCACCCAAGTCAACTTTTGATTAGGTCCAATCATAGAGAACGTATGAGAACCAAAACCGTGTTGGTGTCTGTGTCCGTCCGGTATACCTCTGTCGGCAAACAAAAACATGAATTGGTGAACGCTTTCCGGTCTTTTACTAAAGAAGTCCCAGAACATGTCCCAATCTCTCAGGTTAGTTACTGGATTTTTTTTTTGACTGTGAATGAACATCGGGAAGAGGATTGGATCTCTCATGAAGAATATGGGTGTATTGTTTCCTACCAGGTCCCAGTTACCTTCTTCTGTGTAGAATTTGAGAGCAAAACCTGTAAGGAAATGTATGTTTAAGCCATATATTGCTTCAGTTCCTACATAATACATAAAAGAGCCAATCGAAATAATAGTGTCGTGACAAGATAGACAAGCAAAAAGAATTGCTCTAGATAATTAGAAACCGAACACAAACTTATGGATGGGATATACTAAATAAGATTGCAATGGCTACTTCTACAACAAATCGATTATATGTCAAATAACGATGTGAGCTATAAATAAAAAATAATTTCAACTGTTCAAATTACTTATGTAGATCCTTGTAAAATGTTGAATTTTCTTTATTTTGGTGAAGTAATAATTTATTATACAAGGTGTTTTCAAAGTTGAGTCATTTATTTTAACAGCTTGTAGAACTCGTCAAAAGAAGTCGATGTACCAAAAAACACCCAAATAAAAGTTGCATAAGGGAGTTATAGGTTTTTTTAAAATTAAAAACATTCATTATCGGTAAAATGTATTCCATTTTTACAAAGATTGTTCAAAATTGTCACCATTTGTCTTGCTCGGCGTACCCACGACTCCTGACAGGTATCAAAAATAAAATCCGGATGTCCGCGAATAACATCTAAAGTTCTTCTACAATATTTACTTCTCCATCATGATACACCAACTGTTTTAAATAATCCTACAGAAAAAAATCACAAGGTGTTAGGTCCGGGAAGCGTGCAGGCCAAGAAACGGGTCCATTCCTCCCTATCCATCTATTCGTAAACTGTTCATTCAAATACTCACGAACTCCTCTTCTGAAATGCGGGTAGAGCTCCGTCATGTAGAAACCACATATCATGCCTAACATTCAGTGGAACCTTTTTGTAATAATTCTGGCAGATGGTGTCGAAGAAAATCTAAATAAATGTCACCGGTTAGCCGAGGTGGAAAAAAGTATGGTCCAATAAGCATGCCATTTACTACACCAGCCCAAACATTTAATGAAAATCTATGTTAGAAATTAGATCTTCTTACGGCATGCTGCTTTTCTACTGCCCACACAGATAAAAGGCAACTCTTAATATTAGATTTTAAATTATCTTGGCTCTTGATTATCTTCTCTAAAGGAAATAATCTTGAATGACGATTATGTATTCTTAGTAAAAGAGTTTTTGTCGTCTTGCCGTTTATCCATGATATTCTTGCCAAATAAAATCCTTAGTTACAGGCTGGTGATCTTAAAAATGTAACATTCAACTTCGGTGATCTTAAACTGAGACTCTGATATGTGCAATTAGTCAAAATTGCAATAATTCTCTTGTTAGAAGAACACGTCCCCTCCCTCCACGCGGTCAAGTTACCGGTTAGGTGTGTTGTGATGTGTTTCATCATTCTATTGTTAGTCGTTATTCTAATATCGAAGTAAACGGAAGTGTTGCGTGTTATTGTTAAAAAAAGTTTGCAGTATGAGTGAACAATCAGAATTTTCAAACAAATGGAAAATAGGGCATCTGCTTGTCGCCTTTGAAGGTACGTACTTACATATACATACATATGATATTAAAATCTGTTTAAGTATTAATTGTGCTTAGTTCAAAAGAATTATTGCATTAAAAATATTCTGTCGTATAATTAGTAAATATGCAACGAAGATTTACTAAATGTTTTGTATAATTTCTTGTCTTGTAATTAATAAGTTCATATTGAAGATTTACTAAAGAATGTTCTGTATCTATATAGCTTTTAGTTATTCATTAAAAGACGCCATTTTTATAGAAATTAAGCGTCCTATTAGAGCCTCAATTCAAGATAATTGCCTAAAATCAAGGACATATATATTTTTATTAAAAACTTGGAAATCTTGTAGAAAGATTATTTTATTAGCAGTAAAGCCTCAATTCAAGATAATTGTCTAAAATCAAGGATATTATGTCTTTTAAAGAAAGATTTTAGAATCTTATAGAAAGATTATTCTATGGAAGTAAAACTTCAATATTAGATTAATTGCTTAAAATCAAGGATATAAATTATGTCTTTTTAAGAAAGACTTCGTCTGATGTACTGTTCCATTGGAAAAACTCCTACAAAATACGTAAATTGGAACCGGCGGAAACCATCGAAAGTTTCATAGAAAAATGGCCTATTTTAAAGAGTCCTTTAGCTCCAGAACTGGTATGCGATATTAATCTAGAACATTTTATTTCTTTGCAATAACTGCCTTTTTTTAAGGTAAATGTGGACTTTCAAATTAAACATGGTCAACCAGAGGATTTTCATTTGGACAATTTTCACAATTTTTTCGATGCTGTGTTGGCTTTAAGGAAAAATTCGTTAACGGCGACAGACACTACGCTATTAGAATTATTGGATGGGGAATTAACAAATGGTAAATATATTATTTGTAAGTCCCTTCCCCTCTATTCATTTCCATTGTATTTGCTCTATTCTAAACACAACGTTTTTCTTTTGTAGATTCAGCTACAGCAATAAAATTGTATATAATACCAGCATTAGTTCCTCCCAAGACTCAGGTTCAAGCGGGTAAAACCAATTGGAAACCGTCGATAAATGAGACACGAGATGCTTTTTTAGTACATGTCAAAATTCCGGGAGATTTAGAAAAAGCAAAAAAGGATCAAATTGACTATATGTTTAAAAAAGGATTAACCGTTCAACCATATATAATACTAATAGGACCGACATTAAGTAATATTACAGGTAGCTTTGTCATTGTTAACAATTATGAATACAAATGTATATCCGTAATCGACGCTCTCGATTTTTGTTTTAAAATGTACCAAATTTTAGACGCTAAATATCCTGTCCAATGTTCACATTTATGGTACCTATTGCAGTGGCAACTTTACAAATATTTTACAGAATTTGATCCTGTAATCCCCCATATTAATGATTTGCTGTAAAATATATTGTTATTTACCAACGAGGTTATCTAAGACATAGCTTTTACTACTTTTATCACTTATATTTACCGAAAAAGTATTTTTATCCTAAGAATAATATTTTAAAATTATAATGGACGCAACTACAAATAGTTTTACTTGTTTTAAATGTAGCAGAAAACTCTATTCAAAATATCATTTAGTATTGCACTACCCCATTGTTATTAGAAATTTAGGACCACCAAGATTTTACTGGTGTATGAGGTATGAAGCTTTTCACAGACAACTGAAACAAACCGCTAACTCAGTTACTTGTCGAAAAAATTTGTTTGTAACACTATCCCTTAAACAACAGCTGAAATTATCGGGTAGACTTTCAGATAAAAGAGGATTTCAAACCAAGGTAGACTTTGGTCCGCGATATGTAATACCTGAAAAAATAGTAACAAAATTTAAGTTGTCAAAAACATTTTTTAGCGTGTCTTGGATAACCATTAACAATATTTTGTACAAAAAAGACTTTGCGTTACAACTTTGCGAGAGTAAATTTGGTCAAATTAAGAACATTTTTACAAATGAAAAGACTATATATTTTATGTTGCAACCACTTAAGACTGTTGGCTTTTGTGAATATGTGCAAGCTTTTGAAATAATATTTCAAGGCGGTGTAACAAATGCTGAAGACTTATTTGTCACATCATTTGATAATATGACTTATTCTAAGCAAGTTCATAACTTTCATTTTAGTGGTAACGGAACCTGTTTTATTTCTGTTATAAAGTAGTTCATAGGTCACGGTGAAATATTTTAAAATTATTTTGTCCTACTTTTCAGATAAAGTTTCATCGCTATCTGTCTATTACTTTTTAAATTTAGTAATGTGGCAAAATTAAAATAACTGATTTTGCTTGTTCCTTTCAGATTAGTAATAACTTAAGATTAGCCTATAATAATAAATAATAATCGTGGTCATTGTTAAATTGTAACTATGTAGCCTTTTTTTGATCATCTTATTTTTACGTTAAAAACTGTAAATATAAGAAAAGTTATTTGAGTTTAAAGTGTTAAAAATATTGTAAGCGCTACAGCAATGTCTTTTCATTGTGTTGCACGCAAATTAATATTTAAATGATAATTTAACATTAGCCACGAATAAACTGTGTTTTATTAAAAAGAGTTTTTATTTTATTTATTTATTTTTTAGTTGGGTTTAGCTCACTGCCTTCTTTTTATAAATTTTTAACAGAATAAATGTATCAAAGTTTAATTTCTGTTCATTTGTTTTATTTCTGATAAATTCCAAATTCCGTTATATTTAATATTCCCTTTAGATTTTTTATTTTAAGAGTTTGAAAAAGTATCTTTTTGTAATTGTTTTATATGCAGAAGAAAGTTCTAAGGAGTAAAGTGAGAGCTCAATTGTTTTTATGAATAGATTTGCTTCCTGCAGAAAAAGATACAGATTTTGTATTATTTTTTTATATATCAAAATGAAAGTAAAGGATTTGCAAATATCTTAAGACATTGTGCACCATTCAGGCTTTGATTTAAAGAAATATACAATATGTCTACTTAAGTCGGCACCATATCAGAATTTTTTTATTATTAGTTTTATGCAAAAAAGTATTCGCCATAAAAAGTTCTGCTTGGTCTAAACCCAAAATTCAACTATTAAATATATTTTTTTTTCAGTTACGTAGGTACGAAGTTCATCTGAAAATATGAATTTTTTGCAAGAGTAAATATCCTTATTTTTAACAATTTTGAAAATTGTTATAAAGGAAAGTTTACCAGAATTATTGAAAACTACGGTCATACATTTAATATTATTTGTCTACTAAAAAACTTTATCTCTAATGCTTTTTGACAAAAATTCGAAATATACATTTAATTTTGCAAATCGTAGAACTGATTTTTAATGGTTGAGATAATATTAAATATCTTACAGTAGTTTTTAATTCTGATCAAGTTTTCTTAACAAAAATTTTGAATGTTGTAAAAAATAAAGGTAATTTACTCCCACATAAAATTCATATATTTCGACAAACCTCGTACATGACTGAAAAAATGTAATGCCTAATGACTGCATTTTTGGTTTTATACCGCGCAGAACTTTTATGAAAATATCTTTTTTTTAACTGATAATAAAAAAGTTTCCCATATGGTGCCGACTTAATTAGACACTCTGTATACTCTTGAACGAAGAAACTATTGTTCTGTTCCAAGTAAATATTCTCTTGCCCAAAGAAAATATTTTCTTGATTGAAGGAAATGTTCTCTTTAATAAACAAAATATTCTCTTAATTGAAGAAAATATTCTCTTAATCGAAGAAAATATTCTCTGGATCAAAGAAAATAATTCTCTTGATCAAAAAAAAATATTGCTGAACCTAGAAAATATTTTTTGATCGAAGAAAATATTGTCTTGGGCCAAGAAAATAATCTCTTGAAACAAGAACATATTTTCTTGGGTAAAGTTTCATGTGATTGAAAGAAAATCATAAAAATCTTAAACTAAAGTAATACACGAATATAAGTATCACCATCCATGCTTGACACGAGATTATTTATTACTTAATGGGAAGGACGTGTACTTAAGTTAAGAAATTTTATGTATTCATTCCCAAGTTAATGGTTCTTTAGTCAAGTTTTAAATCCTTAGGACAAAGATAATAACCAAAAATTTAAGAAACTTGAACCAAGGTATTTACCTTTAGCCTTAATACATATTACCTCCTACTAAGAATTTTAATGATCCTTAAATTCAAGGAAACGGCTGACTTTTGTTAAGAACATATTTCTTTGGCCCTATTCAAAGACATGGCGATCTTGGTTTAAATTCGTTTTGCCTTCAGTTAAGATATCCTTTTTATCTGTGCAAACATGATTGTTGTGAAAATTGAATATCCCATTTTGTGTAAATGTGGATTCGTCTGTAGCTAAAATTATTTTCGTAAAATCTTCATTTCTGTTCAACTGTTGTAAAAACCACTGGCAAAATTCAACTCTTCTAGGATGATCTTCAGGTTGTACCCGTTGATAATGATAAGGATAATATTGTTCCTGTCGTATTGTTTTCCACACTTTACTATGGGAAACATCGACTTGAGTTGCTATGGCTCTGGTACTTATTTTTGGGTCATCTTCCACCATTTCCAAAATATTTTCCTCAATTTCTACCATTTCAGGTGGAGCAGGTTTTCCAGCGTGACCCCCTCGTTGTTCTTTCAAGTATCCTGTCTCACGAAGTCGAATAACTAAATTTACAAACATCCGTGGAGCCGGATGATTTCATAATGGAAACCTTTCCGCGTAAAGGCGACATGCTGCGGCTGCATTTTGTTGGCACTCTCCGTATGTTAGTATTATGTCCACTGGTTCATTGTTTCCATAAACGTGGGCCATTTCCGTACAAAATATCAAAAATATTAAAGTGATACGAACTAAACGCTTGATACCAATAACTAACCGAAAAAAAAAAAACAAAACAAAAATAGCCATACCTAGATAAGTAAAATTGTCGTAGTAAACAAACAACGATAAGTTTTAACTTGGCAGTGGTCAGGAATATTAAAATATGCGGATAAATAGTTTGTATTTGTTTTAGTTTTAAAATTTTGAAATTCCTTTTTATTTCTTTTAATATGCCACTTTTATTTAGGTGATGTTTGGTATATCGACTTCTTTTGACGAGTTCTATAAGCTATTAAAATAAATGACTCAACTTTGTCAAGTTTCAAAGCCTACTACTTAAAGGGTACCAGTTAATTTCCAATTATTTCCTAATATTAACGGATTACTGTGTTACATTTTTAACCTATTTCTGCTTGTGTGTAAAATAGATAGTGTATGTTAAATGTGAAAAGTTAAAATTTAATATTAATTTATAGAATTGCCTTTCATATTTAACATACGTTATACTCGTATTTATAAAATCCGTTATATTTTTAACGTTTAACGTTTAATTTCGTTATAGAGCACCACTTTTTTCTATGTCTAGTTCCTTAACTTAATCATCGAATTTATAATTAGCGTATTCTCTCCTTCACTTACCTCTTGGATCCCTGACGCTATCGGCCGATCCCAAATTTCCTGCTACTTGTGAAAAACGCGCAGCTATTGGTGTTCTTTTGCCGACTTTCTCAAATACCTTGGATACCGTTAAATTGCTGAGTTCTTTAGTACACTGAAAAAGTTAATGGCATTTTTAACCAGTACTCTTAAGTTTGTTTTTAATACTTTATTATAATTTTTTTGGAAAAATGAAATTGCCAATCGCTCTCAAATTATGCGAACTACCACCCCTACAAATTTGGACGCCAAGTTCGGGGAAAACGGTAACGAGATTGTAGATAGTGCATGGAAAGCGGCTCAAATCACCCTTTGTGGGACCTGAGCCGTTTTGCAGTATCAGTAGTAACATAATATTAGGAGAGACTAAAAAAAATTGGGCAGTATAACCGATAATTGGAACAGTCTCTTGAGGCTGACAGGCTGCGCTACTTCTGGGTGAATATAACCAGAAAAGATCGGAAGCCTGTATTTGCTTGTATCTCTATTTACATTCTGACTGAATGTATAGAGCTCCAGAATCCAAGGGCACTATATATAGGAGCATATCAAATAGAAGTGGAAGATTTACCTAACTTAAATCTACTTCAAATCCTACACTTCCTTGAGAAATAGGATTGTAAGGGTCTTTATGGGCATCGAGACATTCCTTGCTGCATTAGCGACAGAAGGGGAACAATAGATCTTTTAGGTCGCAGTGTATTAACTCCTCATTCCAAACATAACATGTACGATTCGTGGAAAGTATGTTTTTGTAGATGTAGATACCCTTGCACTTATTCTCAGTGTAGAATAAATAAAGTGTGAAGATATCTTGTATTTTGAACTTTTTTTATTTAATACAATTGAAATTTTTATAGTAAATTTGGGTTTGGTTTGCGAACGCTAGTTGTTCATTGTTTTATTAAAAGTTTAAAGACCTATTAAAAAATGGTGGTAAAGTAAGATGCAAATGATATGCGGTTCTGATTGTTTAAAATGTCATAATGGCAACCGTTAAATAATGTAAACACGTCTTGTTGTTACCAGCTTTGAGACATACTACCCCCTTTCTCTGTTTACTTCAAGTAATCTTATGAGAAGAGTGATATGTACATGAAATTTTCAATATTTAAGATCAATTTCCTTCAAGGTTTTTTCTAAAATAACTGGATATTAGAGTAGGCTAAACTATAGAGAAAGACAGGCCAACACTAACAAGAGGTGGATACATATTCCTTTTGCACTTGTGCTGAATGTGTACTATTTTAAAATGTGATAATTGTGCGTGTGTCAATGTTAAAGCCAGAACCGGCCTAAGATATACATTTTATTAGATGTTATGAAAGAATTTTATTCTTTATTTTGTACGTTGTGAGAATTTGACTAGAGTTTGATGTTATAACATATACAGTATTGGGCATAAGAAATTTATTGTGTGTTCGGTTAAAAAATGGTCTTGTAATTTTTTAATTATTAACAACTGTAATAAATAGTAACATTTGAGTAGAATAGTAGTTTGTGCAACAAGAGTGGATATGATGGCCATATCGCACGAAGACGAAATTTGAGTACGTCGCCGTAGGCGGAGTGCTCAATCGTCTGAGTGCGATGTGGACAATTCCCTCGAGTTGTACAGAATATTTTTTCTACGACCCACTAACGAAAATTTACAAATAAAAAAAATATTTTAGGTTATTAAGACAAAATAACTAATTTTAAAATAATTTATGATTTTTAATAATTTTTAAAATAAAATAAACAAAAAAAAAAGAAAATAAGTTCATTTCATTTTTGCCCATCCGAGAATTGAACTCGAGTCTTCAGCGTGGTTGGCAAGAACACTAACCACATGACCACCTATTCTTTTATTTTTGTTATTTAATACTCGTAATTAAATTGATTTCATATTGTTTTGTTTAAATTAACAAATTATTTATAATTATAGACGAAATAAAAACAGAAATGCTATTATTTATCGATTGTACACAAGAATAACCCATTTTAATGTATGTTTAATCTCAATAACTAAAAAATATACTGACAATTAGTTTGACAGATTTGTCACTTATTTAAAATTTTAAGAATAATAGTAGTTGGATGTCCAAAATATGAACTGTGATTGGTGGATTTCATTTTTTTGCAGTTTTCTCACTACATAGAATGGATATGAAATATATTCGTTCAGTTGAACGCAATGACATACTTTTTCGTTTTGTACTCTATGCGTAGATAAGCTAATATCCATGTTGGTGTAGAAAAAATATTTTTCCAGAGATCTGAACCTACTCCAAATATTGAGATTATTTGGAAAATAGTAATTTGATTTTTTCTACACCCACATGGATATTAGCTTATCTACGCACAGCCTACAAAACGAAAAAGTATGTCATTGCGTTCAACACTGCAAAAAAATGAAATCCATCAATCACAGTTCATATTTTGGAAATCTAATTACTATTATTTTTAAAATTTTAAATAAGTGACAATCCTGTCAAACTAATTTTCAGTATATTTTTTAATTATTCGGAATAAATATTCATTAAATTGAGTTATTTTTGTGTAAAATCGATAAATAATCGTAAATAATAGCATTTCTATTTTTATTTGAACCATATTTTGAGAAAAAAAATTAAATTTTAATCATACTATATGAAACTATTTTAATTACATTAAAATCAAAATCGTAGAAGTGGCCGTAGAGGCATGAACAGAGTGCTTGACTTCCACGTGAAAAGCCGGGGATCGATTCTCGGCTGGTGACTAATTTTTTTTTTTTTTTTTTCATATTTATTTTAAAAATCAGTAAAATTCATAAATTTTTTTAAAATTAGTTATTTTGTCTTAATAACCTAAAATATTTTTTAATTTGTAGATTTCCGTTAGTGTGGGTCGTAGAAAAAATATACTGTACAACTCTAGTAGATTTTACATATCCACTCTTGTTGCACAAACTACTATTCCATATCATTAGAATAATATTAACATATTGTCTTAATGTGTTGTATAACACACGTATTCTCTTAATGTGTATATCACACAACCTGAGGTAAAAATAGGTTTGTCAAATAACCTACTTTATACGCTATTTTATCTCAGGATGGAATTTGAGGATTTCACACCCATCGGTTAATACAAGTGGGTTTTCGTTGGGTGTTTTTTGCGGTTTTAATAGAGGCCTAACTCAACAACAATGCCTCTAATCTTCGTTTAACTTTTGATAATCAAGCATCATTGAAAAACACAGTTTACAACTGGTTTGTAGAATTTCGTTGTGGTAATTTTTCCGATTGTTGTTCAAAAAACATACTTGTGCATCTTGATTGAAGAGGATCGGCATATAACTTTCCGAGAGATAGAGGCATAGAAAAACTGCAAAATCCGTACACATCGTAACAAGTGACGAAACGATATATTCGTATAAGGTGAAAGCTAAGCCGCAATCAACTGTTTAGGTGTTCCAGGATGAACCGAATCCAACAATAGTTGTTCGTTCACGAAGAAGCTCTTCCACGAAAATGAATGCTTGTTTCTTTGGTGGTACCGGACATATCACAACCTTTTCTTTAGAGAACCGAAGAACAGTTAATGCTGAATGGTAGACAAACATTTTTTGGCAGAAGTCGTCCATGAAATTAAGAAAACTCCCCAAAAGGTCGCATCATCATTAATCATGACATGTACAATTACTTATTTGAATGAGGTAAAAGCATCGAATTAATGTCTTTATTAGCCGTATTCACCTGATTCACGACTTCTTTTTGTTCTCAAACGTTAAAAAAAAAACTTCGTGGAAAGCGATTTTCATCATAATCAAGTTATTGAAGCCTTCAAAAAACTAAGTTTTAGAGATACTACAAGATGTTACAAACCGAAGTCAGACAGGAAACTTGTGTCATTGTAAATAATATGAATGTTATAAATAATGGTATTATTGCTATTTTCGAAAAACATAAAAAAAAACAAATTAAATCAATCTTACCTCGAAATACCCAAATGCAGCTGCTCCTTTTGCATGTACCACTCTCTCGGGGATTCTTTCTCTATCGAAATCTTGGAGCTGTTGAATCAGCTGGTAATCTCTCAAAACAATTGGCCCATATTTTCCTGCAGTGAGACTCGCGTCTTTGTATACTAACTGAATGGCTGCATTGTCGGTGGAATAACCTATTTTTCCCTAAAACAAATAATTCTTTTTTTACCTAAATCTCTAGTCTACTTTTTTCTATTCTTTCAATGAATTTATTATTGAGGATGGAATAAACTTTCGTATCTATTGGCCTTTCAACATCAGATTTTCCTTGCTTTTAAATATGCTTTTCTACAATAGCATAACAAAGACATTGTTCTGATAAAGGTGAAAGTTAAGAGGAAAGGATGTTTTAATAGGATTGGTCTTTCTTATACAGATTTAAGTTGATTATCCTGCTAATTTTCTTTTGACGTCTATATGTATAAATTAAATTGGTCTGTAATTGTTTAGTAGTATTGTTTAGCAAGAGGTAATTCGTAAGCTGGTAAGTGTAATTTATAAGTCATTTGTTGTAAATTATTTAATAAAAATCGCATAAACGCTTTGGTGCTTTAGTGCTTGCTTATAATAAATTGTGAGTGTTATTTAAAAATTCACTATGATACAAATGTGTGGAAAGAATTCATTTGTTCAAGAATAGACGATTTTTAAAAAAATTCTAAAAGATTTTGTGAATGGCCATCTCATGATATACATGTAAGACACACACCAAAGAAGGCAATTAAGTACGTAGGGTTAATTGAAAACTTATGCTATATTTTTTGAATATTTTAATGCTATTTTTATGCGCCATTCAAAACTTTTATACTCGTCGCTCTTTTTACAAAATTCATGGTGCTCTGCTAGCTTAGAATGAAAGCCAGCAGTGCACCTCGTTTTTTTAATTTCTGAATACAACAACATATTTTTAGACTATTTTTAGGCTTTTGAAATATTATAAAACTTTTCGAAAAGAATTGGTAATTTTAAAAATACAGGGTGCTTTGCTAGCTTCGAACGAAGCATTAAAGAAATTTTCTAAAAACAACTAGGCCCGATTTTAAGGTTATTTTTAGGTTCTTAAAATATAAAATTAAAAAATAAAACTATTTTTAAAAAATACTAGTGTGCTTTGCTAGCGAACGAACCTAGAAAAGCACCACGGTTTTTAAAGGGTTATTTTAAAAACAACCACATCACATTTTTAGGCTATTTTTAGACTCTTAAAATATTCCTAAAAATGTGGCATAGTTGTTTCCACAGAAAACCTTAAAACATTTTCTGAACAAAATTTTTTATCTCCCCCTTCAACCCCTTCGGAGTAAAAGTCACCCCCTTAAATTTTTTTTAAATAGAAAGGGGTAGCGCGTGATACCTCATTTTAAAGGGTTTTTAATTCCCTATTCAGCAGTATAAGAGGTTTTGTTTTTTGTACATTTATATTCAAGAAACATCAATTTTTATTTTTAACTATTCTATTAATAATAGTACAATTTTATGGTATTAAATGTTCAAAATGACTGCCGTTAACTTCTTGACAATAACCAATGCGGTTATTAAATTTTTGAAGAACATATCTTGTATGACGTACGGGCCAATTTTTTCAATTTCTTCGGTGATTCTTTTAATTAGTCAATAGTCTCCGGTCGATTTAAATACACTTGAGACTTTAAGTGGCCTCAGAGGAAATAATCAAGCGGTGTTAAATCGGGAAATCGAGGTGGCCATTCAATGGCTCTACAAAAACGTAAATTCCTTGAAAAGTACCCTATATAACATAGACAAACCATATATTAGAAGAATGGAAAAAAGATGAGTAAACAGAATCTAAAATAATATACTGGGGTTATCATTAAAAAAAAAACATATGTTTGGTTCGTATACCTCCCAAAAATTTTAAAATGATAACCTCAAACCTGTCCATAATTTTCTTAATGCCCTTTTTTAATATCTCTTTCAACAAGGAAGATATCGAACTTTTTCACAAGATTGGTATATATATATAGTACTTTTTCCCTCTAACACACCTCCAGGTATGCATGTCTCCATAATCGGTCACTGAACGCGCTCTTTTTTGATAAAAATTACCCGAAACCTGAAAACCCATGTGTCGACCTTCTATGGCCCGTAGCGCAAAATCCTGACGGTAGATTTTTTGTGCCCATTACCTTTTTTGGATATTGAGATCTACATTTTCCATCAAAAATTAAACCTTGGGACTGAAACCATTTTTCCCTATAAAAAGTGCGGGGTCCTTTAATGTAGTTGACAACGTCGCTAAGAGGTGCTTCTCTTATATCGGCCGGTGTTAGCCGATATTCGCCGAACACAAATCTTCTAATAAATGAGAGCGTCGAGCAATCGTAAAGGATATGAAGATGCTTCCGTACTTGACAATGACCAGTCAGAATGCCTGTGACTAGGCGCAGATTCTGTCTAGTCATAGTCAAGTATTTCTTCGCTGCAGTGTTGTCAGGATAACTCAAGAGCTCCCTGGCAAATCTGCAGTTTCTTATTTCATCCCATCTTTCCTTGAATATCACAAGGGAATGTTCTTTAATTAGGTCTGTCACTACCGATTTTGTCAGGCCAATAGAAGGGCCAGGTCCAAAAAGTATTTGGTTGGCTGCTTCCTTGGCTAGTGAATCAGCAAGACGGTTACCTTTTGATGTGGCGTGACCTTTGATCCATCTTAAGGTGACCACATTGTTGATGGATACTTAGGCCAAAGCTTCGTGACATTCTAGTACTAACCCTGAATAAATACGTGGTCTGTTCAGGGTGAGTAGTGCTTGTCTGCTATCTGTATAGATGAGTATGTTCCTTCCAGCGATATTCTTTCTGGTTATTTCTTTTGCTGCTATGAGAATCCCCGTTAGCTCTGTTTGAACTACACTGGCACTATTACTCACAGCCCATTTTATGTTTAGGTTTAAGAATCTGGAGTATATTCCACATCCTGAGCCTTGTTTTGTTTTAGAACCGTCGGTGTAGATATGAATCGTACCTGCCACTTCTGGCTCTTCTATTTGTTCTATTATAACTTTATATGGCTTATGGAAGATATATCTCGGTGAGATGGAGTCCATGTTCTCTTGAAGCAGTGTAAGTCCATGCGAGAAACCCCAGGTGCGCCCCACGGTTCGGCCGCATTGTTGATAAGTAATGTATGCTCTTTTAACTCTGTTTTCTAAATGCGAGTTCCATGTTAACTTGCTGTCAAAGGTGAGACCTAGGTACTTCACCTCTGTTGCAAAGTTTAGTTTTGTGTTTAGGAATTCTGGAGGTTTTAATTCCATTTTCATCCTTTTCCTTGTGAAAAGGACCATTTCTATCTTCTTAGGATTGATAGACAGTGACTGGTCCTTGCACCACTGTTCTATAATTAACAAAGTGCTCCCTCCTATAGGATTTTAAAATAGAGAATGTTTTCGGTATGTTTTATATTTAAAAAGCCTAAACCTGTGACATAGTTGTTTTTAGAAAAACCTTAAAATAACGAGGTGCTCTGCTGATTTGTTTTAAAAAAATATTATATATTTTAAAAGCCTAGAAATAGCCTAAAAAATGTGGTATGGTGGTTTAAAAAATAAATAAAACTGAAGTGCTCTGTTGTCCTCGTTCGAAGTTAGTAAAATATCCCATTTTTTTAAATAAATGTTTTTGGAATATTTCATATTTTAAAAGCCTAGAAAAGCCTAAAAATGTGGTATGGTTGTTTTTAAAAGAAAACTTAAAAACCGTGGTGCTGTTAGGTTCGTTAGGAGCTAGCAAAGCATCCCGGACTTTATAAAAATAGCAAATTTCAAGAATCTAAAAATAGCCTAATATGTGGCATAGTTGTTTTTCGAAAAACTTTTAAAAAAATGGAGATGCTCTACTGTTCTCGTTCGAAGCTATCAAAGTACTCTGTATTATTTAAAAATCAAATGTTTTTTAGAAAAGTTTTATAATACTTCAAGAGTCCAAAATTAACCTAAAAATGGGGTGTGGTTGTTTTTAGAAAAAAAGCCTTAATAACGAAGTCTTCATTCAAAAGCTAGCAAAAATAACAATTTTTTTCAAAAGTTTTATATTTTAATAACCTTAAAATAGCCTAAAAATATGGTGTGGTTTTTTAAAAAAACGAGAAACAGAATTTTTGAATTGAGCATAAAAATAGCCTTTAAAATTAACTAAAAAAATGGTTTCAACTCAAAATTCGAGAGACGCTAAAATGGTGGTTCCCACCTCATCGAGACTGAGGCCCACAAGGCTAAACTCGTAGCGTAACAAAAACGAGAAATGATTTAACTTGGAACGAAAGACCGAAAGCCGATAGTAGTATTAGGACGTTGAATTTTTTGGTTTGTGAAGCATTGGCATTAGTTAGGTTAAACCATGTGATGATTTCCATAAGTCTTGATTTTTAAAACCATTCTATATCGCCTTTTGATTAGGGTTTACAAACTTGTTTGAGCAATTTATCCAATAATAATTGGCCCCTTTACCTCTTAAGCCTGCTCATGTAAAATATTTGGGCTCCTAATGACATAGTATCATCGCATCAGATATATTAGAAAAAATTCAATATAATTCGAAATATCACAACTAAAATACAAGAAGCCAATCTGACTTTCATGTATGGCAAACCATCACTAAACGTTCCCAAAATACAATTTTTATTAAAAGTTTAAAAAATTTAATAGACTGCCTACAGAAATTAAAAAAAAAAACAATAAATGTATTCAAAAGTAACCTCAATCAATACTTGATAGATAAACAGAACGGATATACCTACTTTCTTGTGATAATACTCTTTAAACCTGCCCTTTTTAAGTATTTTAACATACAAATAAATGACAACTTTATAATTAAAATAAAAAACACAACAAAATACCTCGGTACCAAGGTAAGAAGATTCATTTTTAAATTTGATCTATTCAGGAAATTTATGACTAGAAATTTACTAATTATTATTTACAATTCGCTGGTTGAATATGTAATCCAAAATCTTATAATAAAAATTTTCTACAAAAAAAAGCATTATATCCTACTTTTGTATAAGAACATTATATTATATATCTTGCTCTACCTTTATGGAAAGCCTGAATTGAGATATACTACAAATTATTTACAAATATCAAAAGAAGTATACATTTTAAATAATTTGACATTTAAGAGCCATTCACACATCACAGTTGACATCTTGATACTTGACAGGCACAGCCAAGCATTATTCTGATTTTTGCCAAATAAAATGGCCGGTTAATTATTCTATGGGGTTGCGACAGAGAGCCAATAAATTTGATGAAGGTGTTTTTGTGGTTAGGGGCGAAATAGTAGTACGCTTAAGTTAGCACCACTATAAAAAAGTCATTTTTAAGAAATTGCTTATATATTTTTCACAAATTGGCAGGCTTGGCTACTAATTTCGAATAAAAATAGCCTCCAAAATGGCTATGATTGCAAGTATGAAGGTCGCAACCTGCCTTAGAAATTTTACCTTTTCTATCAACAGCTGTTGTTTGACAGGTCGTTAGAGAATGTTTGCAATTTATGGAATTTTAAGAATGTTAGGAATGTTGACTTAGAAATAATTGAAATTCCTAAAATTGTAACATAAGAAATGCATATGCGGATTTTAAGAAAATTGATTATATATATATATAGGATGAACCGAAAATTCTGAAAATCAAAACCTCAAGTCAATCAGAACTTTCGTTCTAAAGTTATCGTGCCGGCATACATACATACAGACGACCAGACGAAATTTTTTTTGCATTTTCGGACTCAGAATGATCGGAAACATGAAAACAAGTTTTAAAAAATAGGGACAAGAAAATGTTGTCTGCACGAATGCAATACTGAGGCACCATAGGAAGGGCCTCAGTAATATATTTAACGAAAAATTAAGAAAGTACTTAATCGAAAATGCATTCTACTCAGTTGAGAAATTTTTGGATGCCATACAAGGAATAAATAATATAAGTTGAGAAACTTGAAAATTTGACTGTAATTACATTCTTTTTTCAATTTTTATAACAAATTTTAAAACTGTTCATGTTGTACTGTGTTACATTGATAAATAGGTGGATGGAAGTAGGTAGATTGTGTCCAGGTGTGCATGGGGGTGTGGATGTCAAATTTTAATTTTTTTTTACTATAATTTTTATTGGGACTAGTCTGTAAGTTTTATAGTATTATTAGAGATGATAATAATTGTAAACTTGTAAAGATACAATAAATAAATATGAAATAGTACCTATTTTTATTTAGACTATTAATTTAAAAATAATAAAAATAGTTTTCTCGAAAATGTTGTGCGCCCTGTATCTCCTAAACGAAACGGAATTTTAAAAATCATCAAAGAACAAAATATTCTTAGAATAGTCCAAGGAACAACCCCTTGAATTTTTGCCGCATGTTTAAAAAACACCCTGTATATCCAGTTTGGTAAGTGGAAGGGAGAGTTAATGGCTATTCTATTTTTTAATTTGGCTAATTTAATTGCTTTTTTTTAAAGTTTCTTTCTTGAATGTTATAAATTTCGGGAAACCTTTGAATGATCTCATCGGGTTCACAATTTAATATACATACATTCATTTACTTATACCTTTCATCTGATCTTATTCGCAGGAAATGAGTACCATTACTTAATCGTTAAACAATTTACTATTTTCTGCAAGACGAGGTTAAAAGTCTGGGAATTCATGTTCCTGTTTAAAATTTTATTTTAGGGTCATGGGTAAAAGGTGGTGGTAAGTGGAAATAGATGCTAGAAACAAAAAAGGGTGATTTAAAAATTTTGCAAACAATCGTTGTTTGAAATGTGGCTCCTATTTAAAAACAGTTAAATAAAAAATAATGAATAGAGTTACCTTATTTTGTTTGTACCAGTTGCTCAATTGCTCAGCAGCTGCATCCCTATCATTTTGGTTTTCACTTGTGGACTTTGATGACATCTTGTTCTAATGGTTTGTAATACACAATAGTATCGACTATCATTGTCATAACATTATACTGCTTTTATATAAGTATTTTGTAAACATGCAAAGCTCAGAGGCGTAGAAAAGGGATGATTTTAATAGATACTTTATCAAATGTATTATTTATAATTTAAGTGGAGTGTATTAAATTTAGATTATTTTTGGATATGTTTATTAAATGAAGTGTTAACAAAATTCAAGAGACGCTAAAATGGTGGTTCCCACAAGGGTAAACTCGTAGCGTAACAAAAACGAGAAATGATTTAATTTGGAAAGAAAAGATCGAAAGCCGATAGTAGTATTAGGACGTTGAATTTTTTGGTTTGTGAAGTATTGGCATTACTTAGGTTAAACCATGTGATGATTTTCACATGCCTTGATTTTTAAAACCATTCTATATCGCCTTTTGATTAGGGTTTAAAAACTTGTTCGAGCAATTTACCCAATAATAATTGGCCCCTTTACCTCTTAAACCTGCTCATGTAAAATATTTGGGCTCCTTTCTTCGCTTATTTATATTCTATTAATAAAGGACAGAAGGATGAGTATTGCAACTATGTTAAAAGAAATAAATTGGCTTTCAGTTTAGAACTATGACTGATATTTATTTATAAAATATAAATGACAGTACCATCGCATCAGATCTATTAGAAAAAATTCAATATAATTCGCAACATCGCAACCGTAATACAAGAAACCAATCTGACTTTCATGTACGGCAAGCCATCACTAAAAGTTCCCAAAATACAATTTTTATTATAGGTTTAGAAAATTTAATAGACTGCCTACAGAAATTAAAGAAAAAAACAATAAATGTATTCAAAAGTAACCTCAAACAATACTTGATAAATAAACAGAACGGATATACTTTCTTGTGATAATACTCTTTAAACCTGACCTTTTTAAGTATTTCCCTTATCCGCATTTATTATAAATTATTTCTGTTTTGAGATCATGTACTTTATTTTAAAAAATTACTTGATATTATATTAATACTACTTACTATGTTTAAATTATTAATAGTTTAATAGGTTATAGCTACTTATAGCCATAAAACTATTTTTGTGTTAAAGTAGATCCATAGAGAGCAATGTATTTTTTATGAATTGAGGAAATGTTTACTAATTATTATTTACAATTCGCTGGTTGAATCTATTTTGCGATATGTTATATGATATTGCACTTCAACCCCTTAATGTAATCCAAAATCGTATAATTAAAATCATCTACAAAAAACCAGCATTATATCCTACCTCTCTTTTATATAATAAAAAAGTTCTCTGTATAAGAACATTATATTATCTGTCTTGCTGTACCGTTATTTATGGAAAGCCTGAATTGAAATACACTACAAATTATTTGCAATGAATATCAAAAGAAGCATGCATTTTTAAATAATTTGACACTTAAGAGCCATTTACACATCACAGTTAACATCTTGATACTTGACAGGCACAGCCAATCATTATTCTGATTTTTGCCAAATAAAATGGCCGGTTAATTATTCTATGGGGTTGCGATAGAGAGCCAGTAAATTTGATAATGGTGTTTTTGTGGCTAGGGGCGAAATAGTAGTACGCTTAAGTTAGCACCACCATAAAAAAGTCATTTTTAAGAAACTGCTTATATATTTTTCATAAATTGGTAGGCTTGGTGACTAATTTCGAATAAAAATAGCCTCCAAAATGGCTATGGTTGCAAGTATGAAGGTCGCAACCCGCCTTTGAAATCTCACCATTACTATCAACAGCTGTTGTTTGACAGGTCGTTAGAGATTGTTTGCAATTTATGGAATGTTAGGAATTTTAGACATTAGAAATGATTGAAATTCCTAAAATTGTCACATAACAAATGTGTAAGCGGATTTTAAGAAAATTGATATTAAAGTAGTTAGGATGAACCGAAAATTCTGAAAATCAATAGGGTTCTAATTTAGAAGACCAGACGAATTTTTTTTTGCATTTTCGGACTAAGAATGATCGGAAACGTGAAAAAAAAAATTTTTAAAATGGGGTAAAAAAATTTTTTCGTCTGCACGAATGCAATACTGAGGCTCCATAGGAAGGGCCTCAGTAATTTAAGTGCGGTGTTTATTAAATTTAGGTTTTTTTGGCTCATGACAGTATCTACAGAAACTTACATCGGATCAATACGTCTGTGGACGTTATCAGGTAACTTAAATATACAGGGTGCGGCACCGAAAACGAAACAGATCGCATATCTTGAAGACACATTTTTTTTGGAGAAAATGCAAGAAGAGGTCGATTTTTATTTCAAAGGGGACATCTTTCGATCATATCCTCGAACTATCCTACATCCCTCCCCACCCCTCTGTCACTATTACCAATGAAATTGAAATAGGGAAAGTACTAAGTGTGACACATCATTGAAAAGGTAATTTTATAAGGAATTTGACTGTGTGATAGTTTATTACGTAACTTTTGATTTTGGCGCCATCTTGAGGGCAAAGTTTCCGTATTTTAAATAATGATACTTCATTTGAAAGTAAAACTCATTTAATAGACAATTCATAATAAAAATAAAAAAATAATAATAGAAAAGTGAACATAAAAATTAAATTGAAAAATTTAGTTTAACTCCCATAATTAAAAACTAAATTACTTCAAAGTAAATGCTCAAAGTATTGTCTATTAACTTCCATACATGAATATAAATTATTCTCAAATCTTTGTCTGACGTTTTGGAGCATTTCTGGAGTTATTTGATGACATTCGGTAATAATACGTTCACGTAACTCTTCTAGAACCTGGCTGAGTGGCGTATATTTTACTTTTCAGATATCCCCATAAAAAGTAATCTAAGGGGGCCAGATAAGGTGATCGTGGGGGTCACTCAATAAATCCTCTTCGTCCAATTCAATGTCTAGAAAAGTTTTCATTTAAGTACTGACGAACCGCCGCAGCAAAATGTGGAGGAGCCCCGTCCTGTTGAAATATTAGGTGATCTTTAAGGTATCGGTTATCGTTTTCTATTATGTCTGTTAACAGTGGATCAACGGTGTTTTCCAAATACATATCCCCAGTTAAAGTACCTGGTAAAAATAATGGACCAACAATACGATCGCCAAATATTCCAGCCCAAACGTTTAACTTTTCTGGGTGTTGAGTATGCGTTTCATGAAGTACTCTTGGATTGGAATCTGACCAGTATCGACAATTATGTCGATTGACAATCCCGTTAACATTAAAACTGCATTCATCTGAAAAACAAATGTTATAAAGAAAATGTGGATCTTGTATAGCATGCTCTCTCATGATTTCACAAAATTGTAAAAGGCTATCAAAATCGTCTTCGTTAAGATCCTAAACTAAATTAATTTTATAGGGATGGAATTTGTTGGCTTTCAAAATTCTCCTGACGGTACGGTCACTTACTCCAGATCTGCAAGCTTTCTTGTACTAAGAGTTGGATCTGCAACAACTTGTCCTAAAACAGCTACCTCTACGGCTTCGTTTCTTACTGGATTTTAAATCTGCCGTTTTTAATTTTGAACAGATCCTGTTTGTCGAAATTTTGAAATAAGTTCCAAAACGTACTTACGTTTAACCTGTTTGTTTGGGTGTCGCTCATTGAAAATTGTACAGGCAGTGTTAGCACATTCGTTGTTTTTTAAATAACATTCAACAATTTCTACTCTCTCCTGAATAGAATGAACCATTTTTATGTTTTACTCGCTAATAGACTTGAAGTATCAATGATGCTAAACTAAAAAACAGACCTGGTAATTATGAAAATAAAAACCTTTATTTTTATTTTACGAAAACATAGGCGTAGTAAGTTCAATTTTATTCCAAAGGTAATTATGCATGAAATTTTTAAATTTGGCTTTCACATGACAATACGCTTATTTGAACTGTCACATGTCACACAGTCAAATTCCTTATAAAATTACCTTTTCAATGATATGTCACACTTAGTACTTTCCCTATTTTAATTTCATTGGTAATAGTGACAGAGGGGTGGGGAGAGATGTATGATAGTTGAGGATATGATCGAAAGAGGTCCTCTTTGAAATAAAAATCGACCTCTTTTTGCATTTTCTCCAAAAAAAATGTGTCTTCAAGATATGCGATCTGTTTCGTTTTCGGTGCCGCGCCCTGTATTTACACTTATTTCCTCTATTGACTCCTTTTTCGAAATCCTTTTAGTTCTTTGTCCTCTTCTTTCTGGCTTCTATTCCATTGCCTATTATGGAACTTTTCTTTCGCTAATTTTCTGAAAATCCCCATACCAGAGTAACTGCTTTCGTTTTATATCGTCACTTAAACTTCCAATCTTTCTTTTATTTCCTCGTTTCTTTATTACAATGGCTAAACAATATATTGTGTAATGTGTAAACAACCTACATCACAAGCGGCAAAAAGTCTACTCAAATAGAGACCCAACTAGATATAAAATAATTTTTGATTGTTTGCTAATATTAAATTCTTGAACAAATAGGTTAAACTGAATAATGCTTTCACTTTCAAGGCAACACGGCATAGAACTGAATATTTGTCTTTACTTACAATAGGCCAGATACATTTGGTACTTGAGACTAACGATTTTAAGGCTAAATCATTTTGAAACTCAATTACTTCCATTTCTGTTGCAGCGATGTCTTCGCCAAAGTTCTGCATAACACAAGTTGCAAACTGTTGGATATCAATTTCCGTAAAGGGTGAAACGACAAACTGCGCTACTAAAGCCATTTCGTTGAAATCCTTAAAACGATTTTTGAAGTTATTCTTCAGGGTAGAAACTATTTCTACATGATATTTGCTGTCATAGGGTTCTAATGGATTTTGAGATATTTTTTCTGAAAGAATAGGAAAATGCTTGGCATCGCTGTTAATTAGGTTTTGTTCCCAAAACTCCAACTTTTTGATAAATGCTTTTATATCAGAAATCATTTCCGCTAGTTCTTTGTCTCTCCCCTGAAGCTGCAAATTAAGTTCGTTTAATTTCTCTGTAATGTCCACGAGAAAACCAAAATCTCTAAGCCAGATTG